GCCACTTCTTCCAATGTCTCCCCCACTTGCCATCAAAAAGGTGTTTATACCGAATTATTTTAACTATGATGAGGCTAGTGACTCTCCAAGAAGAGAGTACAAATCTCTTTCTATAAACCTCATTCTTTCCCTTTTTCTAAATCACCTTGCTGCTTCCTTTTCTATACAAAGTTTTTTCCAGCTCTCTGTAAGCTGTTCTCACAGGTTACACAATATAATTAGTTTGCTCTTCTTACGGGACCCTCTCCCATCTTTCTAATATCTGGATTCTTATAACACTTTTTAATAAAGGCCAGATCAATGCTAAATACATAATAGAGTTGCCTTTATTCTGTATGTAATACTTTTGTTGGTACAGATAGTATTCATCGTTAATATTTACTGAGTCTCTGCTATATAGTAGGGTCTATAGTGAGGGCTGGAAATACGAAAGGTTTAAGTTCACAGTTGCATGAGGAAGAGAGATTCATAAATGAAAAAAACTGTGATTTGCTGAGTGCTTTTAGATGCGAACACAAAGCTGACTTAGGCTGTGGATCAGACTGACTCACAGAGAAGGTGGTGTCTGAGCCAGGTCACGAAGCATGAGAAGTGGGGGGGCAGAGGGAACCCCAAATGCTTGGGACAGACCTAAGAACAACATGGCAATTTGGGTGGAGAATGACCAGTACAATGAGGCCGCAACACAGGTTGGAAACGTTAAATTTGGACAGTATTTAAGCAATCATGTTTTGGAAAGTTCACACACATTTTAAAATAGCATCTTGCTTAACTTCTTGCTTAATCACCTAAATATTTTTAAAATATAAACACAATTTTGCATAATTTTGTTTTTATATCTAAATGTAACGAACACCTTCCCTTTGCTTGTATTTAATCTCAGTTTCTCAACTTTAAGTAGGTTTTTGTAACTGAACTTACAGTCCTCAATGGAACATTCTTTCTTAATATTTTCACATATCCAAACTGAATCTTAGTCACTAAATTTCTAAGTACTTTCATTTTAATTAATTGCTAATTATTTTGGTTCTAGTCAAATCTTAGGTGCATTGTTTCCCTCTTTTGGACTCACGTTCAGTAAAATTTGTTTTAAATTAATGCAAAATCTTAGTGTCTTGGTTTATGATTAGAATATAGGAATCCCTGTTAACATCTTATTTATAAAATTATGTAAATCTATGTGGCAAAAAAAAAATTTTTTTTTAAATCACCAGTATTTGAAATGGAAACTCTTCCTTCCACCAGGTGGGAGAATAGTGTTCAATATCAGGCAGTTTCCCGTTTGATTACAGTTTCCTCTAACGGGGGAGATTGAAGTTGCTGTGACCTGAAGAGGAGAATCTATTGTGCCTCCTCCTTTGTGAAATGGCTGAACAGGAAAAATCAGGGAAAGAGTGAACTTCAGAGAAACTGATAGATTTGCAAGAATTATCAACACATACAACAGATTCCTGGGCCTTAGGCTTGACTAATTAAGCAAAATAAGCATACCTCCTGAAAGAAAAAAATTATGAAGATTTAAAATCCACTAGAATCTAACATCCACCAATTAGAAGATGGGCTCCCTGAGAGCACATAATTGTTCAACAAATACTGGATGGGTGGGTGGGTGGATGGATGGATGGATGGGTGGATGATGGATGGGTGGATGATGGATGGATGGATGGATGGATGGATGGATGGATGGATGGATGGATGGATGGATGGATAAATGGATGCATAAATGAGAAGAAAAAAAATGTTCACATTTTATTTTATTCACAGTTCACTTCTTTTCTTTTTTGTAGTTTCCAATTCCTCTTCCTTTTCCTTTTCCATTTAATCCAAATCAGGTAATTATACTTAAAGTTCCCTTTTTAAAAGTATTTAAATGAATACAAAACTTGAAAATTCTTTAATCAGAGAGGAATTTGATACCAAGAATTAATGGTTGTCATTCTTTCTGGGGGATCATTAGTAATTGATATTTTGCCAGATTTGAGTCTTTTAACATATAAATCTCACATACCCTTGAAAACTACCTAAGACCTCAAGTTTTCTTAATTATGTAGAGGGAACCTAAGACGCCAGTAGAAAAAGCATTTGAAGTCAGATAACCTGGGGGTGCGAGCTCTGCAATTTAGTACTTTGAAGTAATCTCAAACTCCTTTGAAACTTACTTTCTTCTAGAAGAAATAGTTAAAATTATTTACTTACAAAGTCCATTTTACCTCTTTAATTTTATGCTTACATTTGTCATTAACATGAGGAAGATGAATTCTTGTAAAAATGGAATCTGTTCTAAAAGCCTTTGAACTAGATTTAAGATGGTCATGGTATAAAAGGATTGTTGAAATTTTACTTTTGACCGAATTTTATTGAATCAAGAATAATTACATATGACAACACTGACTCATTTCACAAACCAAAAAAACAAGTTGTGTATATGATGGCAATTTTTCCTAAAATTGTAGGAAATGACATTAAACTTTTCTTTCATAAAGCAGTGATCCCAAAATATAGCCTTTTTCCAACCCAGTAAGCATAAGTTTAATACTCTTTTCAAAAAGAGCATTACATCTGGAGCCAACAACAAAAAAAATGGGGAGTAGGCTACGGGGATTTACTTAAAATATTAGTGAATATGAATTTCAAGGACACAATTTTAGAAATGCTAAGAATTCTAAAAAGCATGTTTTCATTAATCAAGTTAATATAAAATGTATAACATAGAAAAGATAGATAAAATGCTGAATTACACTGCCTTGATTATTTGATTCTTTCTTTTATTTTAGATCCTGACACCTAATGATCTTATATCGGTAAATATATTCTAGCCTGTTAACCTATAAAGTTTATAAAAATATTACATTCAACACCCTACATAACATGAGCCAGTTCATCATGAAAATTACTGTCTTTATTATTCAAATTCATTTGGAAACAAAATAAAGCATGTCTGTTAAATTCAAAAATGAAAAACAATATCAGTGCCTGCGAACAGTTCTATGTTCATTAATTCAATTCAATTCCAAACTATACATCAGCAAAACTACTTCTTCTACCATTGACGAGGGTGAAAGTGAAGTCAAAAGACTTAAGTTATAAAATGAACTGCTGTAGGAGATGGAATAGACTTGATTATTTCTTCACTAGCAAAGCATTAGCATCAACCTATAATCAAAGATAAAAATTAATCTTATCCTAATCTTTGACAAAGATTATCAAATCTAAATCCCAACAGATAATTTCTTACTGAATTGCACCTCATTCAACTTTTTAAGGAGGACTTTTATTGCTACAATATGTTATTCAGAATCTTAGTTTACAAAAACACAGGAGAAATACTCGGGTGAAGTTACAAAAGATATTTTAAAATTCTATTTGCCGGTCTAAAAAATACTTTTCACACTTAAACATTTTCTGAAATCAAGACACATCTCAGAGCAGATACGTACATTTTCATCTAGAATCTTCTTTTTCTTTAAAAGTCTATCATTAACTAAATGGTACGTTTTACAATTGTGGTATCTTAGAATCAGGGACATGTAGTATTTTGTAAAAATGTCAGACAGTCAGGCCTAAATCATCTGTGCGCCCGAGTTAAAATTTTCAAGATTCGTCTATACAGACTGTTTAAAGTCTACCATCTTAAAGAATACTAAAGTGTCCCAGAAACTTTTAGGACAAACAGGTAGCTTCTGAGCCTAAGAAGCCAAGTCTTTTGAGTTCAAATAGCTAAGTGCTCTTCCCACAATCCCTTCTGTTTAAGCAGCATTACAGTCCAACTCCAAAAGGAAAATCAAAAATTCTAGGGTATTTCTAACTAAAAATGTTTTAGGAAACTACTTTCAATGATTAATTATTGGTAATTACAAAATTAGCAAATTCATCTTTACATCAAAACATGGTTAAACAAGTACTGGTGTGGTTAAAAATCCTAAATTCTAATCTCATTGTTAAAATTAAATTATCTATGTGACCATGGGTAAATAAATGTATGTATCTGACTCCAAGGTCCTTTCCAGTGAAAATATTGACTCCTCAAACACGACTCATTCAGATTACCTAGATCTGAACATTTAATGCCTATTTATATTTTATTCTTCTGAACTTTTAAAAAGCGCCATTGGCCACAACCCATCCTGGAAGAAATCCTGATAGAATAATTTATAGAAACTGCTATATCTTCATGGCCATAAGCTTTTTTTCTCTCCCAGTGATCCTAGTTAAGTCAGGGAGCAGGAAAAGGCACCCTCAGAGAACAAACATTACCTCAGGTCAGGTCAAGAACCAGTGGGGACAGTTTTCTACAAATAGAGATTTGCCTTGTTGGTTGAAAGATCAATCCTTTGAGCAAACAGCCAGTCTCTTAAAAGAGAAAGACCTCATGTGGAAGCTACGAAGCAATACTTTTCCAGTGAAACTGGTTGTGTAAGGAAACCCTTGGAGCAAAGCATTCATAGTTGTCCTAAAATGTCGGTTCAAACATCACTCACATGGGGAACTTGTATAGCTTACGAAAGCACTTGTATGGATGCGTACACAGTGAGTTTCTTAACCATTCATTTCAATTCTCTCTCTTCAGGTATAGTGAATAGTTACAAGGTGATTACAGGAAAATAGTTCTGCAAATTAAGGGAATTTATTTTTGTTTGTTTTTTCTGTTTATTAGCATTTATTAACACCAACAGTATTAAGTTAAACAAGCAAGTCACTAAATAGCCAAGGTGTTAAATTGTCTCTGGTGTTACAGGTGACTTTTTTACCAATTTCTCCATTTTTTAATTATAGTTGACAGAATTAAGAGAATTTAAATTTAGATACTGTGTATTCATTTTAAACTCTTACATCATACAAATAAAAAACTAAGTAGTAAAACGGAATTAATTTTTCACTAAAAACAAAGATTTTCATATAGAAAATATTTTAACTTATCTATGTTCTAAGTTAAAAATAAGTTCAAAAAATAAACCCACTGACAGCACTGATCATTGATTTTTCTTCTTTCACAGTTAATCACTTCTATTTTGAACCAACTCCTGGTAAGTCCATATTAATGTCTAAGCTATTATAAACTATAAATCTATTTAATGAAATTAAGATAATATCTTTATTTTTTTATTTTTAGGGCCTCCTTGGGGTAAGACTTCATTTCTATGGTTATGTTGATAAAAGTATAAAAGTAAGTGACATTTAATCTCAGAAAAGGTAAGAATAATTCTTGGGAACCATAAAAACATATGGCAAAATCAAACCCAACTGATCTAACCAAATTAGAGCTCATGAATTATAAACTCAGTTTCCTCCAAGATCTTTAGATTAGAATTTCTGCAGGTCTAAAAGGTATTTTTTTCATAATGCCCATGGTATTAGACATTTCTGTTTACAGAAACATATGCAATCTTAGGTTAAAAAGTTTCAAACAGTAAATTTTACCTCAAGCTTATTGTTTTCTTATGGACAATTCAGTCAGCAGTGAGGAAAGCCTGTTGTGAAACTAGCAAATCTAGAAATGTCTGCTCTCAAGGCAGGGCAGCCCGTCTCCTTAACACACAAGCATTGGCTCGCTGGATGGAAAGGCTACGATACGAACCTTGAGGCTTCCACTTTGAGTCTCACCCAAGTTTGCTTTCATTAAAACATATACAAGCCCAGCCAGGGTGGCTCAGCAGTTGAGCATGGACCTAGGATCCAGGAGATCGAGGTTCGATGCCCAGTCAGGGCACATGCCCGGGTTGCGGGCTTGATGCCCAGTTGGGGGCATGCAGGAGGCGGCCGATCAATGACTCTCTCATCATTGACGTTTCTCTTTCCCTCTCCCTTCCTCTCTCTGAAATCAATAAACATATACTTAAAATAAAATATATACGGAAAAGAGATCAGGTATTTTTTAAATATCTGAATTAATGTCAATCAAAATTATGTACAGTATGTATTTAATCTACCTAGAGAGAAGCTGATGAATCAAAATACAATTCCAATATTGAGAAAGGAACTGGATTTCACCTGTTTGCCTTCTAACAAGTTTCACTGCCCTCTAGTGCTTATTTAGTGTTTCCTACCAATTAAATGTTCTTATCAGGTCCTCAAGTTCCAAGTAGGAAGAATTATGTCTATGTTGCAGAAAAGATAGTTGAGGATTCAATTTATGAACATTTAGGTAGAAGAGAGCCACATTATTCTCTACCTCCCAATATATAGGATCATACCAATACTAATCCATCAGCAGGAAAATAACCCTAATGTGGGAGATAAGGGAGGAGGCAAAGGAAAAATTATGGCAAAAATACCTTCATATAATAACTATAATCTGTATCATTTATTTCGACAGAAATAATTTTCTCACTACTATGTCAGAAGTTATATAAGGTTAGTGAAAACTCCTTTCAAGCACTATTATACATTTTAAATATTTTTTCTTAAGAGTTTAATAGCTTCAGATTGTATACATATTGGTAAATTAATATGGAAGTAGGTGTAAACAAGACCAAATTAATACAAATGCATTCTTCAAAGGATGTATTTTAAAATCAGTTTATTAAAACTTCACAAATATTTTAGAATATACCAATCACTTTAAGTCCTTATACTGTAAGACAGAGTAGCATTTAGCCCCTGAAAGTGGTTAGAGTTTCAAGTGCCCCCTTTAGCTACCAAATATTTCGATTTTTAGATAGTTGTGATCTTATGTAAGTTTAGCATATGCTTCTATTTGAGTTTAGAAAGCTTTCACATCTCAAGAATACCTGCTGGCAAGACAAACACTACTTATCCTTAGGTTAAGATATTATCAAATAAATTGTCTTTGGGACAAATTATGCAAACCATTTCAACAATGCTAGCCAAATCAGACGTGGCCTTTAATTTCAAGTCACAAACCATAACTGTATTACATATGGGTAATATTACTATTAAGTAATATATAATCTTCCAAACCACACACCTAAAGTAACATCATACAAGCTTCATAACCTTAGCAAGAAATACAGTAGACAGTAAGTTTTGGAACCAGGATTCAAATCCTAGTTCTGTCCCTTACTGAGTAAACCTTGGGGCACCCCTTCTAAATACCACTTTCATCTGTGAAATGGGAATACTGCCTAACTTCACAGGACTGTTGTGAAGATTAAGTGATATAATATAGATCTGACAAATGGTATCTATTATTACTATTTTACTAAATGTCTCTAAAAAACAAAAATATTCTTTATATCTCAAATATAAAAAAAGCAAATACATAAGCAATATTGCCTAGTAATATAGGAACAGATACTACTCCAGAAATGTTTTAAGCTAAAATTTTAATCCGGTTTTTCTCTATTATAGATGGTACTGGCTACTAACAGTTATCAGAAGATATCTACTTCTATCTATAATTTATAGTAGCAGTTTTATCATTTTGCAAACTTTATAAATGTTCCAGTGAAAACTCCCAAGTGCCACAAAGAATTTATTATCTATAGACCATGTGCTTCTGTTCTTCTTTAAATAAAGTTTTAATATAACCTAGTATCTTTACTAATGTCAGTTTAAATGTATCAAAACTGTTAAACAGTCCTAGCAGGTATGGCTCAGTTGGTTGGGCTCAAAAGGTTGCCAGTTCGATTCCCAGTCAGGGTACATGCCCGGGCTGGGGGATGGATGCCCGGTGGGGGATGTGCTGCAGGCAGCCCATGGATGTTCCACTCTCACATCGATGTTTCTCTCTCTCCCTCTCCCTTCCTCTCTCTCTAAAAAATCAATAAAAAATCTTTTTTAAAACAACTATTAAACATAAGTATGTCATTCTTGAAGAAATTGCTCTAACTTTCTCAGGAGCTTTTGTAAGCCATTTCAATTTTACAGAATTCTCTGCAGTGCCAGAAAGAAGCAATTCCTTCCTGCCAAACAGTAGAAGTAGAATCACTCTTTCATGCTGGGAGGTAGTCCTACCCCTCATCTGATGAGCATGTCATCCTTTTCAGGCACAAGTCCCTTTTTACATACCCAGGGACCAGGATTCTAAGGATTTTAGGAAATTAATACTGTACATGAACCTTAAAACTCTTCCAGAGGGGTTCAAGGCAAACATCCAGAAACCAAACATTCTAATGTTTCTCGGCAAAATTGAGTCACACTCTGGGAAAAAAGCTTCCTGTCAGTTCAGTTTTACCACCAAAGGAATTTTAACACTAAATCAGAAAAAAAAAAGAAACCCAAAATCTTGTGATTTACCTTAGCCCTAGTTCTGTCCTCTAGCTACAGAGTAATCCTAATACCATTTTCAAGTGTTTAAAGAAAAGACAACCATGTCTCTATCCCCTAAATCTTCTTTTCTTCAAATGTCCATCTGTGATCCAACTGAATGAAGATGGAATTAAGACAGACCCTGCTTCAGGCTGGCAAGACTTGATATCATGGGACAAGGCAGTGTTATTTTCCTTCCTCCCCCCACCCCCAAGAACACCCAGAACACCAACTCTTTTCCTTTTCTCTGGGAATTATGTTAAGTGAGCCCCTCAAAAGCCTATTTCGATCCCTAATATGGCCTACCTAACAAAAGCACTGACCCCAACGACCTCCCCCTCTGTCTGACTTCAATTCCTTTTTGAACATCTATTTGAATTCATTTATAACATACACAGTTACAACAGAGTAAAATAAATATATTAATTTACATTACTAATTTCCTAGACATGTTTTTACTTCAGAATTTTTGAAAAGGAGAACATAGGATTCATTCATCTTTATTGACTAAAAGAGGGCTGAAATTTTCTCCTAAAACTGAAGACTCTAAAGACAAGAATACATAGTTTCCATTTTTGAAATTGGTTTCAACAAGATCATATGAAGCAAACTGAGAAGCAACTAATTAAAAGGTAACTCAGATTACAGGATGGTGGTGCCCCGAAAGGAGCTGGGTGTGGCAGGCATATCCTTCAGACCACCAAAGAGTGGGGAACAAAACAACAGAACCGACAAACAAGAACCAGGCGGAAGTTATGGCGCATCAGAAATTGATCTTAATTCATATTACGATTCTTCAGAGCATCCAAGCTGTTTAAATCTGGTTAAAGGCATGCTTAAGTTGAATACATATAAAATATGATTGTTAATATTTCTGACTGGAAAGCAGAAAATACCATGTTGCATTTCACCATATTTACTAATCTTGTTCTGATGTAAAACTTTCTAAACGAAAATAGTTTTTAAAGTGAATAAAATAATTTCCAAGTCACCACCCCTGCCCACTTGCTCATATGAGTTCTATGATGTTGTCTTCTTTGCAGTACATGTTCCTTTGTTGGCTTCTGGCTTAGATGAGGTTGTGAGCTATAACCCACGGCAGTCAGTTTCAGAGTCCTCACTCCAGTGTGCGTCTCGTTTCTCTGCCACAAGTTTGATGAACTGAGAGTGACTAGCATAAAGCTTGAGTTTATCACTGATGTCCACCCACTTCACTTTTCCAGCATCATCTCCAGCTTCGAGGGTGAGGTTATCCATTATCTCACCTGGTTACCAAAGAAAAAACATCATCAAGAAAAAATAATTCATTTATTCATTTCTTTTTAAGCATAACTCTGTATCTTCAAGTATTCTTACTAAAAATAAGTAAATCACTGTCTTAGGTGGCCAAGTGAATTAAAAACTAGGATATTCCAAATTTTCCAAATGCCCAAATTTTAACCAAGTTTCTAAATTTTAAGTAGAGGCACCAGTAAGAAAGCTTTTCTTTTTAGAAAGTAAGAATATTACCCTAAAATTTTTTCATATTAAATAAGCATGAAAATAAATTCCAGAGGAATTCAAGATTTAAATGTAAAAAAACCCAAAAACAAAAAAACAATTATTGGTGACTTGTTGTATAGTCTTAGGGTAAGTGAACATTTCCAAGTATGACACCAAATCAGAAAACATAAAAGAAAATATAATTATATTAATTAAAAATAAGAGCTCTCAGTCACTCCTGGGAATGTAAATGGCATACCTCCACTGCATAATTTGGCAATGTTTATCAAATGCTTTTAAAATGCAAATGCTCTCTGATGAGCGTTCATCCAATAAGGATCAGAGTGCCTCTTATGCACCAGATTCTGTACTAGACACTGAGGATACAACGAACAATCCAGCAATTCCACTTCAAAGAATTTATCCTAAGGAAATAAAAATACAAGCCTATTCAAGTATTCAAGCAGCATTATTTATAACCCAAAAGGAAAAAGTGGACATAACCAAACTTTCCATCTACAGGTCACAGATGAAACAAATGATGGGACAGTGACACAATGGACTTCCACACAATCATTAAAAATGAAGCAAATCTGTATATCTTGGCACAGAAAGATGAGAAGCAGTTGTGAAGATCACAGCCCAGGAGCCCAGGCTCACTAAAAGGCTGATTTCTCCTGTGATTCTCCTCCCCACACCTTACACCACACCAACAGCACTCCTGTGTAGTAACAGGGGAATACATCGGAAAGAAATGCATGGCTCAGAACTTACTTAACAAGCCTCTAGGGAAACCCAAACACTACAGGGGAGACGAAAACAAGAACACCGTAGAAAATTTTAGTTTCTGACACAACTACAGCAAATACAAGCACAGCCTGACTCAAACATAAAAAACACCTCACACCGAAGGCCTTTTTGCTTCAGTTCCTAACCCTTTTCCTGAATATATCTTGTCTAGCTTTCAAAAAACACTACAAAGGCATACTAGAAGGCAAAAAGCACGGTCTGAAGAGACAAAGCAAGTGTCAGAATCAGGCTCAGATGGAGCAGAGATCTGGGAGTTACCAGGCCAGAACTACTTTAAGTGTAAGCAGAGAATAGGAGGGTGAAAACCGTGATTTGAGTGAGTCAACCTCTAGAGCACCCTTAGTCACTGCTTTTAATTAAATTTATCAGTACGTAAGTCGTACAGACCTGCTTCTAAGTGACACTTGCATGCTTCTCCCTCTGAAATATTTCTAAGTTCTTAATACCAGGGTGAACTCTTCTAATACTTTGGTTAGGGTAATTGCATAGCATTCATGGAAATGGTGCTAGGAGTTTCCCCAAGTTCAACAAGCAAAAGCATAGAATGTGAAAGTGACAGATCTTCTAGCCCCAGCCAATTTTATAAGTAAAAAAAAAGTGTGTCCAAGAGAACAAGTGATTTGCACAAAGTTACACAGCTCAGAAAAGATTCATGAGTAGAACATTCAGTTCTCTGATATGTTACCCTCATTTCATTATGCTACAGAGGATAACAATATATTTAAAATGTCATCCAATTTAGTAATAAAATGTTTCAAAAGAGGCCATTCGCCCTGGCCAATGCGGCTTGGCTCATTAAGCGTCATCCCAGGCACCAAGAGGATGCCCATTCAATTCCCAGTCAGGGCACATGCCCGGGTTGTGGCTCAATCCCAGGTAGGGGTCGTGCAGGAGGCAGCTGATCAATGTTTCTCTCTCATTGATATTTCTCTCTCTCTCCCTCTCCCCTCCTCTCTAAAATCAATAAAAACACATTCTTTAAAAAAAGGGCCGCCTGGCTGGGCATGGCTCAGTGGTTGAGCATTGACCTAGGATCCAGGCGATCGGGGTTCGATTCCCGGTCAGGGCACATGCCTGGGTTGCGGGCTCGATCAGTAACTCTCTCATCATTGATGTTTCTCTCTCTCTCCCTCCCTCCCCTTTCCTCTCTGAGATCAATAAAGATAAAAAAAAAAAAA